TAATAATAATAATAATAATAATAATAATAATACTCGATTAAAAAACATCCATCTTCTGCTGACAACGATGAAGAACCAAGATCTAATATCCTGTACACACTTGACTGCCGCCAATAGAATTCCATTGACTGAATTTGGGCAAGCCAGATTTGATTTTCCTTTTCGCCTCAAAACGAATTCGACAAAATTCAACCGAGACCTTCTGTTTAGTTTTAGTAAGAGTTTTAGTAAGAGTTTTTACGGCACTTGCAACATAATAATAGGTCATATAAGTGTCGAAGTTTAGAGGTGTTACAAGAGAGTAACAAGCACAAAAAAGGAGGGGAGGTAAGGATGATAGCTGTTGGATAGGAAAGAAAGAGCAAACCACACCAGAGCACGTCCTGCCAACCATTCACACTGAGACATTCAAATTTGAACGCGTATGTTTTTCAAGGTCCCGAATCGAATATTATTATGTTGTTTTGGGCCAAAATGGTGGGTGTTTTTTTTACCTTCCAAGAAGGAAACTTTTGTTGTCTCTGGCATAATTTATCTGAATTCAATTGGCATTACGCACTGGGCATATAAAAATAATGACTGCTCTTCAAACGCCGTTAATCTACGCGTTGTGTAGTCTTAAATAGAAATGTAATGTCTCTTACCTCGCACGCAGTTTTCGATTTACATTTCTGTTCGGTATTTTGGAAATCATTTTAAAAGACTAGTATTGAGTTCGATCATGCATGGTTCAAATATAATAGTATATGTTTGTTTTTTTCCGGGGTTTTTTGGGGGGTCTTTTTTTCTTCTTTCTTCTTCTTGTAGGGGGGTGATTATACTTAACTTTTTTCTTTTTTCTCAGTGAAAGGAATTTTCGGTTAGTTGTCGTTTCACCTCGATATCGGACTGCACAATTTGTTGATATTTACTATTCCAACTGCGTTAAAATTCTGGGACAGGATAACGTATCAGAACTTGGAATGAAATTTAGACATACGATAGGGCAATTTCCGTGATATATTGTTTAGATAAACGATTGGAAGGAGAAAATAATTGTGAAAAAAAAATATGACAGAGATTATTATTATTATTCTCACCGTGATATTCAATACTTTTGGTGTCATACCATTTATTCCAAAACACGTTTACCTTTACTGTGATACTGATATATTCATATATCGATTTTTAAAAAAAAACACGCTTTTTCTGATTATATCAACTTCAACAGACATACATGAGATTTGCTACATATCGATTTTTATAAAAAAACACGCTTTTTCTGATTATATCAACTTCAACAGACATACATGAGATTTGCTACAGATGTTTACTATTACTACAACAACTACTGCCACAGCTACTACTACTACTACTACTACTACTACTACTACTACTACTACTACTACTACTACAACTACTGCCACAGCTACTACTACTACTACTACTACTACTACTACTACTACTACTACTACTACTACTACTACTACTACTACTACTACTACTACTACTACTACTACTACTACTACAACTACTACTACTACTACTACTACTACTACTACTACTACTACTACTACTACTACTACTACTACTACTACTACTACTACTACTACTACTGCTAAGCTTCTTCAACCACCTGATGCTACGAATGTGCTTGAACACAGCTACTGCGCCCGCTCCTTTTACTATTTTGTCGAAAAAGAAGACGTTCTATTGAGAGAGAGAGGTTTCTTTAATACTGACTAAAGTACATAATATTGTGTATTTCAGTTTTGCAGGTTTCGGCAGAAGACTACTCTTATTGATTTTAAGACCACCGAGAGATGTTTTATTATCTGCGCAACTTGCACATGGGGCCTTCAAGATTTTTCACCCTTATCAGAGACATCTCCCTTAAACCTTCTGATACAACGGATACATTCAGTAGGACCAACAGAAGAAAAATATCCACAGGTAAGCTTTGAAGAGTTTGCATATGGCACTACATTGTGGATAAAAGCCAAACATGCCACCGAAAAACAGAGCCAAAAAGAAGATCGCATTCATTAACAAAACTAACAAAAAGCTAACGTCTCAACTGATATGAAGAAGATATCAACAAAGCCCAAGCAATTTTAAAATGCTGTTTCTAGACCTGTTGATAAACGGAACAAAATATGTCCATACTACAAAATCAGTAAAATATCTAGATTCGAAAAATATAATTTCAGGAAAAAGCACATTTTTCATTTTGAAATATACGACAGGATAAAGAGGAGGGGGGGGGG